AGTGCTACTCAGATTTCAAGAGAAATTAGAAGATATGATATTAAAGTGTTAGGAGTTTGACAGAGTAGATGGAATGAAAGCGGACTCTCTGAATTAGTAGCTAGAGAGTCAAAATCAACCTCAGTTGTCGAGACAACAACCACAAGCATACTGACGGTGTGGTGATCATGGTTTTACCAATAGCATTTAATGCGGTGAGGATCAGTCTACTTCAGAATAATGATGGCAAGATCCATTTCAAATGTTAGGCAAGTTACAATCATCCAACACTATGCGCCAACAAACACCTCAGAACAAGAGAGGAAGGGAGAATTTTACAGACAGCTATAAGCAATAATGGACAAGGCCCTCAATGGTGACATCAAAATTCTTATGGGTGATATGAATGCCAGTCAAGGCGAAAACCAACAGCAGAGAAACAGATCTCATCACAAGTCAAGAGGTTCTTGGCTAAATGAATGAGAACAGAGAAGTCTTCGCAGAATTCCGCGAATTCAGCGACTTAGTGACTCAAGGTACAATGTGCGAGCACAATGAAATACACGGTGATATAAGTTTCACTGGATGGACATAATATAATGCAGATAGACTTTATCTCAGTCTGAAAAAAGTGGAGACCCAGCCTAATGAAGCAAAATCAAGACCATTTCCTGGTGCAGGGAGCCTTTGAGACCAAGTTGAAAGAAGCTAGAATTAGGTCATGATTCAAGTTCAACGTACATAAAATGAAGGACGAACCTACACAGAATTCCTTCACAGCAGGCATCAGGAAAAGCCGGAGACATTAGGCAACATCATCAAGGAGACCAGTTTGGAAGAACAATGGAACTCTTGGAAAGTAATGTTGGAGGAAACTTACATAGCCGTCTTAGGAAGAAAGGAGAGGTAGGACAAGGAATGGTTATCTACGGACACCTTGAAGCTAATAGAGGAGAAAGAGTTCGTGAAGCAGGTGAATCAGTGCATTTATAAACAATGAAAGGAGAAGCTGAGTTAAATCTACAGCGCACTGAATGAAGGAGTGAAAAAGAGTGCTAAGAAAGACAAAAGACGCTTCAGTGACACACTAGCACTTGAATCAGAGCAGACTGTGAGTAAGAGAGAACTCCAGGAAAGTACATCAAAGGACCACTATTGCAGAAAATTTAAAAGGAAAAGAAACTGGGTGAGTAAATAGGACCGTATTTGATACAGTAATATATTTTATCACATTTGTCGGAATCTCACTGCAACAATAAGCTGATTTGAGAACAGAAAGAACAAACATTGGTACAGAATAACATGGATCCATTTTATTTCGTTGGTTCTCATCAGCTGTGTACAAGCTATAATTTTTGCCTATTAACAGGCATGTTGTAAGAGTGTCATGATGAGATAAAATATCAGGATGATGTTCATGGGAAAACTAATAAAAGGGAGTTCTTGTGTCAAATAAGCTGATTCCTGTGGCTGTTCAAATCTTGATTAACCTTCCAGTTGGTGTATTCATCTGTGAATGCTTCATAATGTCAGAAACGATAATATTAAGTAACCTTGTATCTATTCTAACCTAGCTAGTTCTTTGTGCTTAAATACAGATAATTTTCACTTTTATTCACATTTAATAAGGAACAAGTAAACATAATTCAAAGTAAAAACAATAGTTTGATAAATCTCTTGTTTTAAACAAATTTCTGTCAGACAGAAGAAGTAGACAAACAAATATTCTTCACCCTGAACTGTATAACGTATAAGCATCAGATGAAAAAAAATGAATAAAATTTTGAAAGTTCTCAAAATACAAATTTTTTTCCAAATAGTATGAAAACTCCAGACAGTATATTTTGCTTGTAGTTCAAATATTAACGAAACGAAACTGAAACACTGAAGTAATTCAATACTTGTTTTAATGAAAGAAAGAGATATTTGACACAGAAATAAAACCGGGTCATTATTTGAAGTGCTGAAAATCAGAACGAAAACTTTAGACAACTAAGGAGCACTAAACACATTTTTTATACTATTTCTATTACTTCTATAGTAAAATTAGTAATCTGTAGACTTAACTGATTCGTAGTTGAAGACAGTTAGTTTAATAGTGGAGTTCTACTACGCGTCGGTGGCACAGTGGTTAGGACTCTCGCCGACCATGCACATGGTCCGGGGTTCGATCCCCTACCGACGCACACCCTATATCTATGGTCGGCCTGCAAAATTTGGGCTACCGATATCCATGCTGAAAATGCCATACTTGTACTGAGAATACGGTGTGGTATCAAGCTGTAATCAAAAATAAAAAAATAAATACAAATACAAATAGGAATGAACTTAAGAATACCAGCTTTCGGATCATGCACTTATGATCCAGTCACCACTTATGTTTCCTAAAATCTTCGAACTTGTGGTATAGCTCAACCCTCATCTGATGAAACTGACGAGTAACTGTAATCGTGTGTCACTTGGTAGACCCGAAAAACTACGGATTCGCATCACTGGAATTCTAAAAATATTCCCTCTGATAACCAGTGATTAATTAACACTAAATTCCTATCCCAATATGCAATATTTTGTCCACACAGCTGAAGAATCCTAGACTGAGGTAGGAGAAGTCTACAATGTTCTTTGCTTTTTAACGCTTTATATAATCTCGGTCCAAACTTTGAATTTCCACACAAACTTTTTAAATAAACCCTGAATGGATCACCTGTTTAGGACTACAGCAGTTGTTTTAAAACTTAAGATTTGGAACATGAATTTAAGGGGAGGTTACACATAAAATCTGATGTACATTTATACATTACTAGCACTTTCCGTTTTCCATTGCCTCCAACAGGAAAAGATATCTTGGAACAAGTTCAGTAATAAAAAACTACTAAGTAACAAATGTTGAAAAAGTTATAGGTTTAAGTTAAACGATCAACCAAATAATAAGTGGTATATATTGATTTTTCACCTAATGAAATTCTTTACACATACACTTTTACTACAAAGCATTCAACGTTTACATTAATATCATTTAGATCTAAATTTAAACAAACGGTTGAGTATTACCTAACAAATTATTTGTAGAAATAAAACAGTATTCCGCATCTCACAAACATCATTTTATGGAGGTGGAAGGCAGAATTTATTGATAAAAACCAGCGAACTTCCGACATTCCTTTCATATCTCCTGATGTTCAAAGTATAATCCGAAAACACAAGTTTTGTAGTACAACAGCTTTAGAAGTTTTTGATATAAACGACTAGGACTAGTTTAAACAGATGCCCATCAGCATAAAACAGAATTAGACAGGATTAAACCATTAGGCTGAGGCAGGATACTTATTGCGATGCGATTAGACACCCTGGAAGCCTGACTGCATGCAACCAATATAACTGGTGATTTGTGTAACTTAACCTTTCGGGGTACGTAATATTTGCTGATGGTGTACTTTTGTGTTAAAGGATCGAATTGTTCTCACCTGTATGGACCAATCTGCTTTCGGTCTTCATTTTCATTGGCTCTGAGGGTCAGAAGTAATCGGTGGTCAATATTAGAATTATTATTATATTATTGTTCCCTTGGGTTCCTAGTGTAACACAGGGCTTCAACTGCACCCCTCCACTTGCTTCTGTCTTATGCTGTACTTTTCACTTGCGTCCATGTTAATCCATACTGTTTCAGTTCCTCATCACACGATCTCCTCCATGTCACCCTTGGACGTCCCACTCGCCGCTTCCCTTTCGGGTTCCACTCAAGGACCTGACGCCCGATGTCACCCAACGGCTTCCTCAGCGAGTGTCCAATTCATCTCCACTTTCTCCTGCATATTTGTTGGGCGACTGGTTCTTGTTTTGTTTCTTCCCATAGTTTCTAGTTGGTGATTCTTTCCGGCCATCTGATCTTGAGTATAGAGCGAAGACAGCTGTTGATAAAGGTCTGCAACAGGCTGTTGGAAATATTCTTTGTGACACACTGGCCAAGTTTCTGATCCGTATAGAAGAAATGACTTGACGTTTGTATTGAAAATCCGAATTTTGTTGTTGATACTGAGTGACAGCGGAAGACTTCCAGATTGGTTTCAGGTTGATGAATGTGTTTCTCGCCTTCCCGATTCTCGATTTGACATCCTCGTCCGTTCCTCCTGTGGTTGAGACAATGCTCCCAAGATAGGTGAAAGAAGTAACCTCTTTCAAATCCTTCCCGTTGATGGTGATTGGCACTGGATGTTGCTGCAGTTGTTGTTGTTGGTTGGTTATTTTCATAACCTCCGTCTTGTCTATGTATATATATATATATATATATTAGAATGGAACTCACAAATCAGAGGAACTACTGCATGATAATCGACATTACAGTTTCCAGCAGTTAATTCGCTTAATGGATTTCGATACAACATTAGGAACATTTAGCTGATCTGATACGCGTTGCTGTTCGTACTTTGTTCAAGTTTGATACAAAGCTGGTCGTCAGAGACATTTCTTCACTAAGTATGATAAAATATATAAGTCCAACATACTTCTCAAGTATTGGTTTGATTGGTTACAGGATTTCATTATGAGCCGACATCAGTTAGAGAACCATTGGGAAACCTGGGAGTACTGGACAGCTGTTTCGTCATAGTTTGGGAGTCTTTAACAGCACACACCCGCCGGGGTTTGAACCCAGGACCTTCTGGTTACAAGGCGAGCTCGTAGACCAATGAGCCACATTAAGCCGCCAAAGACATTGGCTGGCATCGCGCTATGTCATGAATTGGCAGAAGTTGGAATTCATGGGCCATTGGATCGGGTCCCAGTGACTTAATGGTCTACGAGGTGGCCTTGTAACCAGAAGTCCTGGGTTCCAAACCCAGTGGGTGTGTACTGCCGATGAGTCCCAAACTATTTATATATATTCAAAAGGAAGAGATTGTTGAGCCCCACTTATGCTGCCATTAGTGATAACAAGACGTTTACCATTAAATAATGCTCTGATTAAAATCACTGATGAGATCAAATTTTGATTTATTCTCTAATTATAACAATAATCTACTTACTTCATAGTCTTCATATGAATCTAAATTATTATTCCTTTGACCAACTGTTCCATCATTTATTGAATGTATACTGAAGGAGACATCACTTGATCGATTCGAGAAATTGCCACTATCCGTCAAACCTACAGGACTACAGTTTTTTGTGTAGTAATCTATATTTTCATAAACAAGGCAAGGATTATGCGTGAATAAATGGGGATTTTTTTCTGATAAACTAGATTTTATTGTTGTTGTTGTTGTTGCTGTTGGGGTGGTACTGATGATGTTAATGTTAGTAGTTGCTGGTTTAGACAATGAAATTGTTGACTTTTCTGCGAAAACATCGTTTTCAATTGTATTATTTTCCAATTCATTACTTGATATACACCATCCAGTTGGATCATCATAGACATCTGAATTGTTTCTTTCTTTCGTTTTCTAAAATGTGAATGAAATTTGCTCGCATAACAAATGGACATGCAAAAGTTAACCAAAATTTCAACAGAATACGGTTAATTATTACTGAACATATAAATATTAACAATTTAAATAAATCTGTCATTAGTTGAAGAAATCAAAAGTGAAGTGAGACACTGTCGTTTTATTTCCTGTCTCACCCCCCCCCTGATAACACACATGTCCGTACTAGGCAGTAAATCTCAAGAGTTATATAAGCTAAAACTAGGTACTTAATTGATTTAAAGACTAATGTACTTGACGATAATAGGCATTATTTTCATGTCCTATTCTAATTAGAATTTATATAATAATAATATTAATAATAAAAAGCTTTATCCTGGACAAGATATTTATACAATGCATAGAATTCTCAGTGTAGTTTACTGCATGAAATTTTCTGTTCGCCCAGGATCTTCAAGTAAAATAGTAATCCATAGTAAATCACATGACGCAGTCCTGTTCAGTACGTAGTATAAACCAATCCATTATGGTATTTTTTTCTTCCCTTAGTCTTCAAGTAATGCTCAGTGGTAGGTTGAAAGCCAATTAAAATGTGCGTATGAGTATATTTTCCGACTCAAGAGCATAATTCAATGATTAAAACAATATTATTATTGTTCCCTTGGGTTCCTAGTGGAACATAGGGCTTCAACTGCACGCTTCCACTTGCTTCTGTCTTCTGCTGTACTTTTAACCTGCATCCATGTTAATCCATACAGTTTCAAGTCCTCTTCACACGATCTCCTCCATGTCACCCTTGGACGTCCCACTCGCCGCTTCCCTTTCGGGTTCCACTCGAAGTGGCCTGACGCGCGATGTCACTCAACGGCCTCCTCAGCGAATGTCCAATCCATATCCACATTCTCCTGCATATTTGTTGGGCGATTGGTTCTTGTTTCGTTTGTTCCCATAGTTTCTTGTTGGTGATTCTCTCCGGCCATCTGATCTTCAGTATAGAGCGAAGACAGCTGTTGATAAAGGTCTGCAACAGGCTGTTGGAAATATTCTTGGTGACTCACTGGCCAAGTTTCTGATCCGTATAGAAGAACTGACTGACTTGATGTTTGTATTGAAAATCCGAATTTTGTTGTTGATGCAGGCTGAGTGACGAAGATTTCCAGATTGGTTTCAGGTTGATGAATGTGTTTCTCGCCTTCCCGATTCTCGATTTGACATCCTCGTCCGTTCCACCTGCCTGTAGTTGAGACAATGCTCCCTAGATAAGTGAATGAAGTAACCTCTTTCAAATCCATCCCGTTGAGGGTGATTGGCGCTGGATGTTACTTCTGTTGTTGTTGTTGTTGGTTGTTTATTTTCATAACCTCCGTCTCGTCAATGTTCACGTGGAGTCCTGTCTTTGGTGCTTCTTCGACCAGTTTGTCGGTTTTCGCTTGTAAGTCTTCGATTTTGTGTGACATCAAACATAAATCATCCGCAAAATCCAGGTCTTCTAGATTCTTCACGTCGGTCCAGGATATCCCTGTCTTCTCGTTTCCCACTGTCTGACGCATAATCCAGTCCACCACAATTAGGAACATCATTGGTGATAACAAGCACCCTTGTCTGACTCCTGTGTTTACTCCAAACGCCTCGCTGTTGTTTGCTTTTTGGATTACTTGAGATGTGCCGTTGTCGTACAGCTGTTGAATGAGGTTGATGAATATTTGGGGTACGCCGTAGTATTGAGTAGTTTCCAAATTATTTCGCGGTCAACGCTGTCGAAGGCCTTCTCAAAGTCTATGAAGTAGAGGTAGAGATTTGATTGCCATTCCATGCTTTGTTCGATGATGATGCGCAGAGTTGCAATTTGGTCAGAACATGATTTGCCTTTCCTGAATCCAGCTTGTTCTGGTCGGAGTTGTGTATCCAGTGCGTCCTTTATTCTCTCCAGGTTGATGCGACTCAGGATTTTACTTGGCATAGACGGGAGCATGATTCCTCGCCAGTTCTTGCAGAGTCCTAGGTCGCCCTTCTTTGGTAGTTTCACTAGGTAACCTTTTCTCCAGTCAGTAGACACCTTTCCCTCCTTCCAAAATTTTTGAAATAATGGATTCAGCATATCTGTTGTCGTCTCTGGGTCCTCTTTCAGTGCTTCAGGCGGTATTCCATCTGGTCCAGCTGCTTTTCCAGCTGGAAAGAAAATTTGATGCATCATGTTGGATAGGAATTCAGGCAGACTGAAAGCTACAGAAACAGATACCACTTTCTACATTGTAGCTTTTACTCTAGAGCTTGATGTGAAACTCCTGAGTTCAAATGCAAAGAATGAAGGAAGTAGTTACTACCATATATAGTTATTTTTAGTTCATATTATTAGTGGTTAAACTATTCTACGATGCATTCAGATATATTCAGTAATATTTATTCAGATATTCTCTCTCCCTTTTATACTCTATAGTATCATTAATATTACACTATTGTGTTCACTACATCTGCGTATGGTTACTGAAATTGATAAGACAGAAAGATATGGCTTTACTTATTAGTTTCTCTATCTGCCTGTTCGTATGTCTACCTTTCTATCCATCAACCAGGTTAGGGAAATCCTTTAGCTTTATTGTAATGTTGCTGACTGACTGACTGCATTGTCAAAATGACAACGAACTGTTATCATAGCAATCAGCAGTATTTTCAAAAAAATTATATGATCAACTGAGTAACATACTTCGACATCTTGTATTTTTTTTCATTAGAATACGTTTTCTTCTTTTCTCCTCAATTAGTATTACAATGATAAATCGTACTGCAATTACTTGTAACCCTACCTTACTTCGTAATCAAGTAATACACAGTGATGTACTCCAGAGATAGTTTTACTTTATCATAACGACTACGATATTAGAGGCTGGGAAAAATCTAGTAAATACCTGTATTATATGAATACAAGCTTATTTAAACACCTTTATTATGGAGGTTATTCATTTACTTCATTAACGATAAAACGTGTTGTTTTAAGCTACTCATATATATATACATATATTTGGGAAATCGAGAAGTACTGGCCCGTCATTTCGCCCCAATCTGGGAATCCTCATCAGTTTGCACCCAGTGGAGCTCAAGCCCAAGACTTTCCGGTTACAAGGCAAGTTCGTAGGCCATTCAACCACCGGGATCCAGTTAATAATTTCCAACTTCTGCCAATTTGCCTAATCGTCCATGAGCTTGCCTTATAACCACGGGGTCCTGGGTTTGAAAGCCGTCGATTGTGAAGTACTGAGGAGTCCCGGACTAGGACGAAACAGTTGTCCAGTACTCCCCGGTTTTCTAATGGTTCTGTGACTGATGTCAGCTCGTGATCAAACCTGTGCCAATCCAATCCATGAAAACCAACACCAGAAAACAATTATATATATATGTGTATATATATATCAATTTATAGACATCAAACAAGTAAAATAGTATAGGATAGGTAGTTACTAACAGGAGTAAATGGTGATAATATTGACGTCCCTTCAAAAAAGCGGAAATCATGAATGTGATCAAGCTACTGAAACCCAGCCGGAAAGGTTGCAGGACAGGACGGAATTTGCCCTAAAGCACTGAAAACGGATCCATTACTGCAAAAAGTTTGGAAGGAAGGAAAGGTGCCTACTGAGTGGAAGAAAGGCTACTTTGTCAGATTACTAAAGAAGGTTGACTTAGGCCTCTTCAAGAACTGGCGTGGAATCATGATCTTGTCCACGCCAAGTGAAATGTTAAGCCATATCACTTCGCAGATAATAAAAGATGCTCTGGATACAGAACTCCTCTCGGAGCAAGCTGGATTCAGAAAGGCGAATCATGTGCTGATCAAATTGCAACCCTACACATCACCACTGAACACAGCATAGAATGGCAGTCAAATCTCTACCTCAATTCCATCGACTTTGAAAAGGCCTTTGACAGAGTTGACCACGAAGTAATTTGGAAACTGCTGTAACGCTATGGAGTACAGTATCTCAAATCTTTATCAATCTCATTCAACAGCTATAGGACAATAGCATGTCCAAGGTGATCCACAACGGAAAACTCAACTAAGCCTTTGAAGTGAATATAGGAGTAAAACAAGGCTGCGTATTATCACCAATGATATAGTGCACTGAACCATGAGGAAGACTGTGAGTGGGGAGCCAGAAGACAGGAATACGGTGGATCGATGAGAAGATTTTAGAAGATATGGATTTCGTGGACAGTTTGTGTCTAATAATACACAAATTCGAGGACATACAGGCGAAAACCAACAAACTGGCACAAGAAGCAGGCAGCCATTGCACATACATATGCTATAAATGGCCTTGAAAGACACTAATTATATTGGCAAGTTAAAAAAGTTAACAACCAATAGGGTTCCAGTGTCGTAAGTGGGGTAAATACGAACAGCACTGTACTGTAAAGACAAATGTAGTATTTTAGAAAAATTAGGTCTTTATAACAGTCAAAACCAGAATGAGAAAGGCAAGACAGACCTTCATCACTCTGAAATCACTTTGGGAATCTGCTGCACTCAGTATAAAGAACAAAATTCAGATTTTCAACACTAATGTTAAAGTCATTCCTTCTGTATGGGTCAGAAAGTGCTTCAAGTCAATCATTTCCGACAGCTACCTCCGCTGCATAGTGAATATCAGATGGCTGGTCAGAACTGACTATCAACAATGGACTCCGGGAACGAACCAATCAAGAATCTATTGCTCAAAAAAATGTCCAAAGAAAATGGAGATGGACTGGACACACTCTAGGGTAAACGTTGAGTGATATCGCGCACCAGGCCATTGCTCGAGTGGAAGACGAACGAGAAACGACGAATAGATCGTCCGATGGTGACATAGAGGAGATCATTTGAGGAATAGGAGCCTATGGACAGTCATGGAGTCAGCTGAAGAGGATTGCAGAGAATAGGACAAAGTGGAGATGTGTTGCTGAAGACCTACATTCCATTTGGAACCCAAGTGAATAACAGTACAATAATATTAATAGTACTGGTATTCGAGAATTTAAAA